CTTCATACTAATGAAAAACAGATGAAATACAACCTTACAGAAACCTTAAAGAATAACTTCATCCTACATTAAGAATAGAAACCCTTACAAAACATATTACAAAGAAGGCTTATGAAGTTAAAATTGCTTATCAATTTGCTGAGTATTATGCTCATGATAAAACATTTATAAATCTGTTTAAAGAATCTATTGTATTTAAGACAGCATATTTTCACTTAAATATAATTTATTTTTTATAATTCAAGCTTCACAAACTCTTTGTACATTCGATATCCAGTTTGAATGAAACCAGTGAGAACAACATGCACAATAGGCATTCAAATTTACATATATTTGTTTTGATATACAATAAGAGTAACAATATTTCCTGTTTCCTGTGACAGAAAAATATTTAAGAAACAAATAATGGATAAATAGGTTCAGATTTACCTTTTAACAGGATTGATCTTTTTAAAACTACAGCTTATGATTCAAAATTTTAATTTATCAACTTGGCTGAGTTCCACTAGAGTGGAAAAACTTATTTCAACAATAAAATTCATGACAAAAATTAGAGCTTTCTTACAAACTGATAGTGACTAAAATATTTGGTGCTGTGAGAAATTTTATATTCATTATTTAACAGTAAAATGTTGGTGTAACATTTTCGAATTTTGGTTAAAGATTTAAAGGAAAAAATAATTCAGTATGCTTGAAAAACACAAGTTAATTTAATCCAATAATGTGTTTGAAAAATGGAATGGTGGGTCTTAATTGGTTATAGGTAGAAAGCTATAATATTAAATTTTTTAAAACCTAAGATACCAAATTTCTTTTAATAACCTAGAAGTATTACCAGATCTTTATTTTAATTTTTATAATTAATACCTCATTTAATGGTGGTTATTAAGGAGTTAATTTTTATAATTAATATTTCATTTAATAGTGGTTATTAATGGATTAATTTTTTAGAACTAATACCTCATTTAATGGTGGGCATTAATGGGTTAAAAACAGGGATAATCTAAGGGATTAAATTTGCAGAGTTCTCAGTAAATAATTGAAACTAAATTTAGAAGATATTCAATTTAGAGTGAGTATTTAAAATTTTTCGCTATGCTATTTAATTCGACAGAACATACATGATATTAAGAGCTGAAAATCTTTTGTTTAATTTTTAAAACTCAATTTCACAGAAAATAGATATGGTAACATGAAAATTAATGTTTTCAGTAAATTTTCCATTCTTAAGAAAATAAAAATCAGATAGAGTACATGGAAAATTATCTAAAATCTAGAAATGAGATATTTTTATTCCATGATTTGTTCAAACCAGCATCCCCATTTTTTCTTTCTATTACAATATCTCAGAAAGGAGAATGAGAACAGTAGTCAAAGTGATTAAATTTAGAATACAATAAAAATAGGTCTTATGTAAAGTATCTTTAAGGCTCCAAAAATATACCATGAAATTGTTCTATGGGACAATATCCAAGTGAGTAAAGCCAAATGCCAGTTCATGTTCAAACTTTGGGTATACAAGTAAATAAATGAAAATTTCTTGGTTTATGAGCCCATGAGTAATTAAATAACAGACAGTCCTTTGTGAAAATGACAATGCAAATGAAGAGGGGGGGGCAAGAAAAAGTGTTTAGATTTCAATCTCTAAGAAGGATACAATGAAAAGAATATCATCAAATAAAAGGTTTCATTCAAAACTCCTTGAAGTTGATTGAATAAAATATGCTCCTGAGAAAGGTTAGAAAATGTACTGGCTGAAACATCTACAACAATAAAGATATGGAACTCTGTCTGAAATATTCATAGACTAAAAGTAAGAATCGGCATGAAAGAAAATCAAATCTGTTTGGGATATTAAAAAACTAAGTAAAGCTAATGAGGCTTCAAATACAATAAATTTTCAATTTTTCTTTTGTCTTCTTTTTCCTAAATTTCTAATTTCTTTTTGTTTTTTTTCTTCTCCATTCTTGCAAGCAGACTTTGGCCAAACTTGAAAGATTACCAAATTGACACTGATTTGCGAAGCTCACTTTGTCTACACTTATCATTGGCCTTCGTTAAATGATTCTTCAAATATTCTGTCTTCCATTATCTTTAATCAGTGACATAATGAATAGTTTCAGTGCTTCCTTTTCCAGACAGAAATATTAAAAAAAAAAATGAATTTTAGGGAAAAGGAGGAAAGGTTTTCTTATGTCTTCAAATTGTACACAGTTTGCCCCAGTCCGCTACTAATATATTATTACCACAAATTATTATTTTCACAAAGTTTTTTTCTCAACATTTCAACTCTCATCAGATTTTTATTTGGTTTTGCTTTGATTTGTTTTTAAGTCTTATTTTTCTCTTTCTTTACATTTTTTGACTTTCATGATTAGACTCAACATTTCTTGGAGGCTAGTATATACCAAAAATTTTCTTACATTCTCAAGTCACATACAATCCAGTCAAAAGTTCACCATTCCCTATTATTATTGCAAATTGTCATTTTCAGGGTTTATTTTTTATATCTCTTCATTATATATATATATATATATATATATATATATATATATATATATATATACACACTGGTTGTCTATATATATATATATATATATATATATATATATATACTGGTTGTCTCTCAGAACTTTTACATACTTATTTTAAAATATTTCTTCTCTTTTTATGATTAGTGATGATTTAGTTTCTCTTGCTTTTAGCAATTTGAGTATCAACATTTATTTACCTACAATAACAATTTTTGAAATAGTACTTACATTCAAGTTACTCTTAACTGTTTCTAGCTTATTCTGCTGATTGCTGGTAATGTTACTTCTGATTTTAATGGAAATTTATCCAATGTGTGTGTGTGTATCTATATGCATATATATATATGTGTATCTATATGCATATATATATATATATATATATATATATATATATATACATATATATACGTGTGTATGTAAATATATATATATATATATACGTGTGTATGTAAATATATATATATATATATATATATATATATATACGTGTGTATGTAAAATATATATATATATATATATATATATACATGTGTATGTAATATATATATATATATATATATTGCTATTTTCCTTCCTGTTCACCAATCTTTATGGCTTTTTTTCATTATTTGAAGTCAACATGATCAGTATCTACTCTATAGTTTTCGACACACAAATGGACCCATCAAAGAGACCAAGATAAAATGACTAAATATATTACACACAAACACATACCACATATATATATATATATATATATATATATATATATGTATGTATGCATGTGTGTTTGTTTAAGTCCAGCTAATACAGATACTTAGATGTCTTACTAAATCTGTAGCAATTATTTTATATAACAAAATATTTTTGTGTTTGCATATATACAAAAACACATACAGAGAACACTTTTTATATATGGTAATGGTAATATTAACTGTTTCCTTGTAAGGAAACATTTCACATTCATTGACCAGGAAATTTGTAAAATCTTTCTCTTAAAACAATTTTTTAGGAAAATAGGTGTCTCAAGTCTATACGAACTGCTACCACGCTTTCCTTCTTAACCTCTCGTCTGAAGTTGTATGGAACATCAACATCTCAGTTGTTATTTTCTTTCTGTTTGATATCCATTTTAGTTGTTTTGTTAAAAGTCCTTAATTGATGTGGTTTCCATTTTCTGGTATAGTTCTTTGTTTGTAATTCTGCAGCACCAGTCCACAACATTTGAAAACGGATGGTCTCCACCAAGATCCACAACCTTGATTTGTTCAAATATATATATATATATATAACTTTCACTTGTTTACACACTGATGACTATCTGAGCAGTAATAATTGTAAAAAATTGTTGCATCCATTGTTAAACCTGACAGGACACAGTATAGAACACATACATATATAGAGGGAGAAGGCAAGACAGAGAAGTGTACACAACATTCACCCACATCCCCACTGACAAGCACACTTTATAGAAAAAAACATAATTGTAACTAAATTTAAGACACTGACATGCATCTGGAAGTGGGCATATGTTAACATTCATTTGGTTATAAATCTGATAGAAAATGTTATTTTATGCAACATGCATAAATAACTATAGATAACTGCAAATCTGAATACTAATACCTACAATACAAAATGTATATGTATATATATATATATAAATGAAGGTATATATTCACATCTCAAATTCAAACAATGTATATTTCTAACAAAATGTCTCTCAGCATGTCAACATATGTAATATATATATATATATATATATATATATATATGCACACATGTAAATTAAGATATATTTCAATATCTGTTGCTTGTCTAAAAACACATATTCAGGTAATATTGTATATGTATTACTTATGTTTGCATGTATTTATAATTTCCATATATATAAGTATAGCCATACAGATTTATCAATAGTTACTTTGATATATTGACACAGATACAAGAATTTGATTGTAGTTATTTCATGTACTTGTGTGTGGCCATACATCTCTCTCTCACTCTCTCTCTCTCTATATATATATATGAGAGAAAGAGTTGATAAAAAGAAGAAAAGTAATTGTTGTTGCTCAATTTATGATCACCAGAATCTTTTCTTTTTTTTTTATTATGTCAGCAAAGTCTGAAAATTGGTAACAGTCTGAGAATGGTATGGGTGACAGGTGATTGTGGTGAAGTTTACGGAATTATGGAAAATAATACAGTATTTAGGGCAAAATATTTTTGAAAAAAAAAAGAAGTCAAAGAAATATGAGTCTACTGTGTGTATTATTGTCTGTTAATAAGAAATATGGAAAAAGAAGTTAGAGAAAGAAAACAAAACAAAATAGAGAATTGTGTGAGGTTTGGAGAAGTGGTCAGAAATATTTTGCAAAGACTACCAATTCTATTAATGGCATGTCTTTGAAGAGAGAAAAAAAACAGAAAGAAAGTACTCAGCTAACTTTGTGAGTTCTTAGAAAGTGAAGAAAAGACAGAAAAAATTCATGAGAAAAATGAAGATGAATGATAATACATCAATCTAGGAAGGAGAGTAAGAGTGTGAGATAAATGTAGGACGTGATTCTTTGTAAGGGAGGGAAAAATGTGTTTGCAGAGTGCAATGTAAGAGTTCTGAAAAGAAGGAGATGAAAAGAATAATACTTCCTGATATTAAATAAGTGTTAACAATTGAGTCACTAATAAAATGAATTTAATCCTTACAGAGTGTCCCACTATTGTAGCAATGGGTCAGATTATACTGAGTAAGGTGAATATTTTGGTGCTTCACCTGAGGATAACGGCAATTAGGATTGTAGAGATTTTGACCCATGCTTGTGATTTTGTGCCTACTTCTGTGGACAGCCTAAGACTTAACTATTTAAGACATGAATATTTTGTTATAAATAAAAGATTGCTAAATTGTTATATCATATCTGGCTGACTGTATGGAAGTGAGTACTGGACAATTTCCTTTCAGATGAAGAAGGGACAGAGATGTTCTTAGAAAAGTACTGAGAATACCTTGGACAAAACACATGAGGAAACACAAAGAGGAAGTTCTAAAGAAAACTGGAACTAAAAAGATATACTTAAATTCAGAAATAGTTAAAATTTCTATGACAAATTATGAAAACTTATAAAATGTAATACTCAGAGGATATACTGAGGAAAGGAGAGTTAGATGGAAACAGAAAGCAACTTACCAAATGAGTTTGTTTAAATGGATGGCAGAGTAGGGATAAGGAGGGATGGTAAAAAAGCCAAATATTGGGAAAAGGATGGATAATAAAGAGCCAGACACTGGGACATGTAGGGATGGTAAAGGGCTTAATATTAGGACAAGGAACAAAGGTAAAGAGCCAAATATTGGGAAAAGGAGGGATGGTAAAGAGCCAAATATTGGGAAAAGAAGGGATGGTAAAGGACCAAATATTGGGAAAAGGAGGGATGGTAAAGAATGAAATACTGGGAAAAGGAGGGATGGTAATGAGCCAAATATTGGGAAAAGGAGGGATGATAAAGGACCAAATATTGGGAAAAGGAGGGATGGCAAAGGACCAAATATTGGGAAAAGGAGGGATGGCAAAGGACCAAATATTGGGAAAAGGAGGGATGGTAAAGAACCAAATATTGGGAAAAGGAGGGATGGTAAAGAACGAAATACTGGGAAAAGGAAGGATGGTAAAGGACCAAATATTGGGAAAAGGAGGGATGATAAAGGACCAAATATTGGGAAAAGGAGGGATGGTAAAGAACGAAATACTGGGAAAAGGAAGGATGGTAAAGGACCAAATATTGGGAAAAGGAGGGATGGTAAAGGACCAAATATTGGGAAAAGGAGGGATGGTAAAGGACCAAATATTGGGAAAAGGAGGGATGGTAACGAGCCAAATATTGGGAAAAGGAGGGATGGTAACGAGCCAAATATTGGGAAAAGGAGGGATGGTAACGAGCCAAATATTGGGAAAAGGAGGGATGGTAAAGAACCAAATATTGTGACAAAGAAGGACAGTAATGAACCAAATATTGCAACAATGATCAAGGTGGGATGGGAAAGAGCCAAACATTGGGACAAGGAACGATGAAGAAGATCCAAATGTTGCTTAAAGATAGACGGTATGGAAAGTTGTTTTTTTTATACTATTGTTCGGCCAATACAAAACTCAAGAATCACACAAGATAGAGGGTTATTGCATGAGATTTATGCAAGGGCATAATGTGAGGAGGTAATAAGTGCATATTATGAAGATATGTGGGATATATAACAGTTATTATAAACTTGAAGAAGTTAAGATTATTTAGTTGACGTCTAGCAACATTTCATCTGTCAGAAAGGTGTTATAGGGTGGAAAATAATTCATCACCCACAAGGCCGTGCAGATACTTTTAACTTCTATCAAGTCTGGACAGTTTGAATTGGGAACCTCCAGACCAAATATGGCAAGAATATTCAATCTTTGGTCCAATCGGACACTTGTAAAGATAAACCGTGACAGGAGGAGTTAGGTATTTTCAAGAATAGTACAGGAATCATTATTCTAGCATCTTTAGTAATGGTACAAATAATGTGGAAAGTTATGATTGTCTGTGCTCTGAAGAGATGATAATGATTTCTTGATTGGTATCAGAGGGTAGTATAAAAGCAACAATTTTGAATGCCTATTTTTTATGTTTGGGGGAAGATGTATCTTCCTGCCTCTTTTTCCTCCTATTTTTATCACATAAAGTTTAGATTTGATGGGGCACATATAAGTTCATATCAGTTTAATCCTTGGGTCAGGCAGTGAAAATCACATATAATATTTCAGTAGAAAAAACAATACAGCATCAAAAGATCAAACTCACAACTAAGAAGAATTTGTGGAGTGAAGATAGAAATAAACAGCAAGACAATTGAATACCAAATGACAAAAAATGATTTCTGAGTAGAGGATTCATGCATATTTCCGGTTAATAAATGAATTCTTTGAAGATAAATATTCAACATTTTTCAACCAATAGGTTGTATTCTTACTGACTATAAAAAAAAGCTTTGTGATTTCTTTGAAAGTATATAAACAAAGTCATCATGTCAGACAAGCCAATAAGGAGAAGGAGCAGCAACATACGAGAACAGATTCATGGCTTGGAAAAGATTCCCTTACTCATTCACCTGTCTTCCTCACCAAGCTATGTGACACTTACACACTTCCTACTCACTTTCTCCTTTGCCTCTCTTTCTTACACATACACATACATCTTAACAAACAACTAAAAAACTACAAACAAGGAACTTTGACACTCATACACACTGAGAAAAAATTTAGTTGTAAAAACACAATAATATCTTATATCTTTTTTTGATGTGGGTTAATTCAAATCTGCAACCAATTAACCAACAGGAGATATCCACTCGTATAAATGATAGAATCAGAAAAAAGAATTCCTTTAGATTGAATAAAGTGTTTCATTCAAAATTCCTGGAATTTTATTGAATATGACAGATTGTTGCAGAATGTTTAGGCTAGACAAAAATGAAAAAATGATAACTGTAGCAAATGCAATTTCAAATCTTACTGGTCAGAAGTTTGACAACCCAAACGGAATGGTAGTGGAGGTTTTAACCTTATGAGTATGGAATCCTGACACTCATGGATTGCCTTTATTTAGATTTTGATATAAGACTGAAAAATATGAAAAAATGGACAGTTTGGTAATAGCAGGAGAGAAGTCAACAGCTCCGATTTTATCTGAACCTTCCTCTCTTAGATTTCTTGGTGTCCTATGTGCTTCAGTATAAAGACAATTCACCATGTGGAAAAGAAAGGTAGCTGGCTGACTTGTTGACATCCATTCTATCTCCCTCTCTTATTTTCAACAAGAAACAATCCATACATTATCCCCACCCAAAAATTAAGTGAAATGGGGGTTTCTAGGAACTGCTGAGAGACCCCTAAAATCTGGATATGACAAGTAATACAACAATTAAGAGATTGATAGTGCAATGACCAAAACGTAATTCTAACAACTACGCTGAAGACACTAATCTAAATAACTCAATACATAACAAGATAAGCTTAGTAAATATAAAAAATCAATATACCCTGAAGCCTGTGAATAACTGAGGAAAGAAAAAGAAAGAAATTGGGGGAATAATGAAAAGAATGAAAACAAACAGAGAAGGATATCTTAGAAATTTAGTTTCCAGACATTTTAATGAAGAGTTAGTATGAAATTTATATACTATTTCTGCAGAGAGATATCAACTCATTTTCTTTTTTCATTCCTTCATGTTTCATTATTGCTTCTTACTTTTGTCATATCTTCTTAGTTCTTGAATTTTGGAATGTTCATAAAAATTATTCCTTAACTTGTACATTATTAACAACATATAATGATGTTGGTTAATGCATGGGTTAACACAACCATTCAGTTAGTGTATATTTTTTTTTACAAGTTTAGCAATTAGACTAAATGAAATAGGATACCAACACTAACAACATAAAATGCATTGCTTAAAAGTAAAAAAAAAAAAATCTTAGAATATGATAAATTTTTTTTCAAGTTTTGGAACAAGACTAAATCACCTGGTACTCAATGAAAAAACAACATAAAAAAAAAAAAAAATCTTACAATATAATTGCATTTCAAAGTTTCTGGAACAAGTAAAAAACCTGGTACTCTTAGACACATTATAAAAGTAAAAAAAATAGAATATAGATTGCTTATATTTCAAAGTTTCTGGAACAAATTGCTATGAAATCACCTGGTACTCAAGTGAGAAAACACATGCATTGCTTAAAAGTAAAAAAAAAATCTTAGAATATAGATTGCTTATATCACCTTTCAAAGAAAACACATTTCTTAAAAGTAAAAAAAATCTTAGAATATAAATTTCAAAGTTTCTGGAACAAATTGCTATGAAATCACCTGGTACTCAAGTGAGAAAACACATGCATTGCTTAAAAGTAAAAAAAAAAAATCTTAGAATATAGAGCTTATATTTCAAAGTTTCTGGAATAAACTTCAAAATTACCTGGTACTCAAATGAAAAAATGCACTTAAAAAAAAAAAAAAATCTTAGAATATAGATAAATTATATATTTCAAAGTTTCTGGAACAAATTGCTATGAAATCACCTGGTACTCAAGTGAGAAAACACATGCATTGCTTAAAAAAAATCTTAAAAAAATTTCAAAAGTTTCTGAAACAAATATAGATTACCTTATAGTGAGAAGAAAACACATTTCTTAAAAGTTTCTTAGAATATAGATAAATTATAACAAATTGCTTTGCTATGAAATCACCTGGTACTCAAGTGAGAAAACACATGCATTGCTTAAAAGTAAAAAAAAAATCTTAGAATATAGATTGCTTATATTTCAAAGTTTCTGGAACAAATTGCTATGAAATCACCTGGTACTCAAATACATAAAATTTTAAAAAAAAAATCTTAGAATATGCTTATATTTCAAAGTTTCTGGAAAAAACCTGGTACTCAAGTGAGAAAACACATGCATTGCTTAAAAGTAAAAAAAAAATCTTAGAATATAGATTGCTTATATTTCAAAGTTTCTGAAACAAATTGCTATGAAATCACCTGGTACTCAAGTGAGAAAACACATGCATTGCTTAAAAGTAAAAAAAAAAATCTTAGAATATAGATAGCTTATATTTCAAAGTTTCTGGAACAAATTGCTATGAAATCACACTCAAGCATTGCTTAAAAGTAAAAAAAAATCTTAGAATATAGATAGCTTATATTTCAAAGTTTCTGGAACAAATTGCTATGAAATCACCTGGTACTCAAGTGAGAAAACACATGCATTGCTTAAAAGTAAAAAAATCTTAGAATTAATCTTATATTTCAAAGTTTCTGGAACAAATTGATATAAAAATGAGTCCCTCAAGAGAAAACAAATGCATTAAACCTGACCAATGGATAAACAAAACTGCACTTATTGTTTTTGCATTTTAAAATACATGGGATGTAAATCATTTTTTTAAAGCTCAATTTATTTTATTTACACTATTTATAGCTGAACTATTATCCTCATCTTTATTGTTATCATCCCAATGTCTCAGCTTTTGTGTTCTTCTGCCTTCATCTGGTGCTTATTAATTTGGGTTATAATTGATCAGCACTAAATAAGAACAGACACGGACAGTGGAATGAGAACAATATAGTTCTATATATTAAATAAAGGATTCAGTTCAAAACGAACGTTAACTGGATCAACAAGCAATTGATGAAAGCTATAGGGAATAACAGCCAAGACAACATGATAATAATGACAAAAATGAGGAAAACTGAGCAAAAATAACATAAAAAATGAAAATGCCTCATCCCAGAATTTCAAACTCAATTGATTTTGTTAAACTTTTTGGTGCTTATTGAATAAACAGATTAATGCTTTGCTGTATTATAAGCTCTCCTGTACCCAGAGGTTAGAACAGCTGGTATATATAGCATGCTGGAATGATCTATTCTGTCACTTAGGCAATCCCATTCTCTGAGTTTTGGTTGGCTGCTGGTTCTATTCTTGATATTGTGATGGATAAATATCCATCATTTACCATTATTTTTGCTTGAGTACAGAACTGTGTTAAATTACAGCTTGCTCATTGCTGTCCATATTGGAATGTTCATAAAAAGCATTCCTTAATGTGTACAGTGTTAACATATGATGTTGATGAACAGTGGGAGCATCATCATCTAGCTCTGCTATTTATATATCAGTATAATCATTGATGTTTTCCAAACAGTTTTTATGATCCAATTGGCTTGGGTCAATGGTTCTTAGGTGCTTTCCCGCAGTGCTGAATGCTAGGATTATCTCCAAAATATGATATTACCAAGAAGTCTTAAGTTTAACTAACAGTCCATGGTGAGATTCAAAATCAGGTCTCATAGTCATAATCCTAAAGAACTATTTGACCATATGACCATTTCTTCACACTTTACTTTTTTCTGCTGCTATTTTTTTAATTACATGTAATCATGGCTCTCCATAAATTCCTCTTCTTTGTTATCAGTGAATTGCCACAATTTCCCAGGAAAGATAGAGGAATGGTTTTGATGTGTCTT